TGGGGGCTGTGCTGTGGGCTGGGGGCTGAGGCTCAGTGGGGGGCTGGGCTGAGGCTCAGTGGGGCGCTGTGCTGTGGGCGGGGGCTGGGTGGGACGCTGTTCTGTGGGGCAGGGGGCACTAGGACATGCTGCCATACAGGGCTGAGACCTGGCCGTGCACACCCCTCACCCATCCCTTGGCCCTTTCCATCGCATGGGGTGCTTGCTCCCAGCACCTGCTTCCAAGGGGGCTCCGTGGGCACCCCCGCCCCTCGCTGCTCCTTGTGGGGTGCAGCCTGGTGGCGTTCTGCTTTCGGGGGGAGCCGGCAGGGCACTGCGTGTGCCCCTGGCATGCCTTGCCCCCAGCAGGGACTGTGTGTGCCCATGGCCCTGCGCAGCCCAGCATCCGGTGCCCCCGGGCCCCCCAGTGTTTCCTGGGGAGACATCACACCTGAGCCCAGATGGGTGGCAGGCGACCCAGGCCGACGCTGCCCAGTGGGAGCCGCGCTGGGCCGGGGGAAGAGGGTGGGTCGCTGAGCCGGCCGTGACCCGTCTCTCTGTGCACCAGCTGGGGCATGGCCGTCAATGTGTATTCCACATCCGTGACCAGCGAGAACCTGAGTCGCCATGACATGCTAGCCTGGGTCAACGACTCCCTGCACCTCAACTACACCAAGATCGAACAGCTCTGCTCAGGTAGGGGCGCCCGGGGGCCTGACCTGGACCGCTCTAGGGCCAGGAGAGGAGGGGCCCAGCCGGGGAGAGGGGCCCCCTGGCCAGCACAGCCCCTGCCCTGGCTCCCCAACCCCTGCCCTGTCCCTGCCCCTGCCAGGGGCTGCAGGGCAAGGGGGGGCCCAGGGCCGGGATCCAGGGGCTGGGGGGCGTCGGCAGAGCATGGAAGCCGGGTGCCCTGTGCCCATGCTGCCTGCAGAGGGTTGCCAGGTGTCCGGTTTTTGACCAGAACACCCAGTGAAAAAGGGACCCTGGCAGCTCCCGTTGGCACTGCCGACTGGGCTGTTAAAAGTCCGCTCGGCAGCACAGCCAGGGCCCGGGACTAATGCAGGCTCCCTACCTGCCCTGGCTCCACGCAGCTCCCACAAGCAGCCGCCGGGTCCCTGCAGCCCCTAGGCACATGGGCGGCCAGGGAGGCACCACACGCTGCCCCCGCCTCAAGTGCCGGCTCTGCAGCTCTCATTGGCTGGGAACTGCGACTAATGGGAGCTGCGGGGGCAGCGCCAGCGGGCAGGAGGGCAGCGCATGGCACCTCCCCAGCCGCCCATGTGCCTAGGGGCTGCAGGGACCTGGCGGCCACTTCCTGGGAGACGCGTAAGTGCCACTGGGACTCTGAACCCTCTCCTGCCGCCAAATCCCCTGCCCTGAGCCCCCTCCTGCACCCCAACCCCCCAGCCCAGAGCCCCCTCCTGCACCCCAACCCCCCAGCCCTGAGCCCCCTCCTGCACCCCCACCCCAGACCTGAGCCCCCTCCTGCCACCCCAACCCCCAGCCCCGAGCCCCCTCCTGCACCCCAACCCCCCAGCCCCGAGACCCCTC